ATGAGAAACTGAAAAAATGGAAATAAAGTGTTTGTAAATGGGGAGGGGAGGAGGGGGTGAAGGGAGGGCAGGGACAAGGGGAAAAAATGAGACTCAAGACCTGTCATGTAAAGGTACAGAATCCCAATGATGAATGTAATTGTATTGTATACCTAGATTGTACCAATAAACTCAATAAAAAGAAAAAAAAATTAAAAATCACAAAGGGTGCTTTTGCTAGCTTTTAAAAATGTTCAAGAAATTAGTACAGAGTGAGCTTTTAATTGTGCTAGAGGAAAAACTGCACGATGCATCAAATAAATAAATTTCTCAGTCGAAAGGCCAACCAATCAGGCTTCCAACTGAGAAGAAAAAAAATGCTTTAAGTTATATGGTACAATCTATAGCTTTTATGTGAAGTTATATATTAGAAAATAAATCCCGAGACCTTTAACAATACAAATTTTATTAAAAAAATAAGTAACATCAAAAGTGTTCAGTAAATCTATATTCAATGTAACCAAAATAAACAAACACCAAATTAAAAAAAATATACATCTATATATATGGGCAAGAAACAAGTGCAATTTTTGGTCCATATTTTTGAATATATTATCTTTATCCAAAGGAATTACATTAATGGCTAAGAAGATATTACTAGGTGAACAAAAAGGTAACTTTAAGACGTATGTTAAGGTCTGTAAAAGGCATTTTTGACAATTCTTCAGGTCAGTGAACCCACGATCCCTAAGATGTTAATGATAGTTCCAACAGAGACAGAATAGCTAATGTTTAATGAACAAGTTCTAAATTAAGAAGCTACCAGTAGATAGCTACATGAAGTTTATGGAGAATTTTAAAGAAGTTTCTTGTAGTTCTCAACAAAAACAAAACAAACACAAAACAAAAGCTTTAAAGAGAACGGTACAAAAACAGACAACAAAATGCACATCCATAAATTTGATGAAGAACATAAAATCAAGCTACCAGAATTTAATCAAAACTTTTAAAAATTAAAAAAAATCTAATTAGTATTACTAAAAACTTCTAGAGTACTGGATAAAACTTTAAATGACAACACAAATAACTATTAGTTTGGAACTATAATTTTAGAAAGTTTGTTTTTCCAAGAACATGAAAGTAATCTTGGTATCCTACATAATCAGAATTTTTAAACTTCTTAGACTGAATCCATACTAGAGGAAGATTAAAGGGAAGCAGTCAAAAAGATTAAACTTCAACTTAGCCGTTGAAGCACTGATTCGATGGGCTTTTCTTGGTTAGAATCAACCCATAAGCTTAAGATCAAGAACCAAAGCCCCAGGAAGAAGTAAGTTGTGCTTAATTTGGTGGGCCTTGAGGTCATTTCTGGCCAAATCAGCATCAGCCTTATGGGAGGCCAGTCATATAGCAAAGGACTCTCCCCAAGATCTGATTTCTTAAGGCCACAAACTAGAAGAGGTCTCACAGTCAAATAATTCACATTCCTTGGAAAGAGAACAGGCATCAGTTGTGTCCATCGAAGGGGGACACTGTCCAGGAGTACACTGGACATTTTTTGAAATTTCTGAGTTGCTTCTGCATCTGAAAAATATGAAAGATAGAACAATGACAGACAAGGAATGAGGGGAAAAACAGCTATCTGACTTAAAAATGTAAGACTTATAAGAAATTAAGAAAGCAGACAAAGCAGACAAAAACAGATGAACAGCCATGTCATTTGGAATGTAATAGTCTGAAGGCAAGAAAATACAGCAGAGGAAAATTATCTTAAGCAAAGCAAGAAAAGATCATATCAACAAAAGGTATTTTTGGAGAGAGCCAACTGGAGAAAAAAAAACATGTTAAGATATGTTAACCTGACACAAAGATAAGGTGGAATAAGAATCTAGTGCCATCTGAAAGCTAAAAGAGTTGAATGAGAGCTAGTGTCATGAACTTTGTTAACCACCTTCATGTGAGAAAACACTTCAGAACTTTGAACTTAGGAAACTGCCTTTGTAAGAGAACACGTCAGAACTTTGAACTTAGGAAATTCCAACTTGTCTTGCACCAGGTTGCACGAGCTCCATAGAGCTGGAATCTATTTCAACAAGCAGCTTTAAAAACAAAAACAAAAACAAAATACTTTAATATTTTTCATTTCTACTAATGATACATTAAAAAATTGCAACAGTGCTAAAATCCAACAAAATAAAATGCACTAAATGAAAAACTTACTCAGAAGTGGGTTCAGAAGTTGAGGTACTTTCGGAAACTGTAATCAAAAGAAGGGTTTTACATTTAAAACAGCATATGTGAAGAGTGAGACTGATTTAATAACATGAGCCCATACTGTGGTTGACCAAAAATACTTGAATAAATATCAAATTCAAAGCAACTATACACACACTCGCACACACACACATACATACCATTCTCTATTACAACTTGGCAGGTATGAGTTTTACGTTGACTTAAGTGTTTAGCCATGAGGTCTAGGCCAGCAGAATGAGCTAGGAAATCACACTTAAGGCACACTACAGTAATGCCCCTGTGAAGAAAAGAAGACAGTGAGAAGGACCGTATATTGTATGGAAATCCACATATAAGTTCAGTAATTATTATTTTATGTAACAACTCAATTTTATGTGCCATGACTATCAATTTTTTTCTACAAACCTGATGTATCTAAAATATTTCTCTAGAAAATGGCACTGTCACATCTAAATCATTCTAACATTAGTGCCTTTTAAATTAGTCCCTTTCAACTTGTTGCTAAAAGCTTGGCATCCAGAGACTTAAAGCACAGCCATGGCACAACTAACAATTTAAATAACTTGTTCAAATTCCAATCTTTCCATTTCTTTGCCTATTTGCAAAGCAAGGATCTAACATTCATTCAAATCTAGAAGTGTAAACTTGCTAAGGGTCTTATTTACATACTGTACTACTAGGTAATGTTGATAGAGCAGCAAACAAAAAAGGTACATGTAGCCTACAGTCTAGATATTAAGTCGACATAAAATTAATATACTACTGAAGTTCATCAGATACTTGAAACTGAAACATCTTACCTGTAGAGGAATAAAAACTTGTAGTACAACTTTAGACTGACTTTTCTTCTGTAGCTCTAGTCTTACAGCTTGTTTTGTATTTACATCAGCTGTTACTCATCACATCAAAAATTTTCTTCAGAAAAATGAAACCGGGCACTTTCTTCTAAAAAAAAATCTTGCCTCCTGTCTGGTCGGTTGGTCTCCCTGTCTGTCTCTCTCTAGGGCCTTGCCATGTAGTTCAGGCTGGCCTTGAATTCGTGGCCATCCTAATTCAGCCTCCCAAGTGCTGGGATTAAAGGTGCGTGTCTGTCTCTGTCTCTCTATGTAGCTCATGCTGGCTTTTAATTCACTATGCAATATGGTCTGGCCTTGAACTTGTGGTGATATTCCTGCCTCAGCTTCCTGGGTGCTGGGATTATAGGTCACCACACCTGGCTCTCTCTGGTCTCTTATGCTACTTCTCAGACTGATACTAAAGCTTTCTTTATTAAGGCATTCAATATTTGCAAACACACTATTAAGAATTTACTGGGTCCTTACTTTGTATGAGGAAAAGGATTTTAGATATCATCTGATCTAAACCTAACATTCAAAGTTGGTGCTACAATTATCACTTTTCTATGAAGACAGGGTCAGATTTAGTAACCTATCGAGGACAACACTTGGTTTGAATGCGAACCTTCTGATTCCAGAGATTAGGTTCTTAAACATGATCTGATGTGAACACAACCCTAACCCAGGCCATTATTAATTAGTTTTAATGCCTCAATATCCTTGGATAGTCATGCCTCATGCAGCTAAAGCTCACCTCGCATATTCCTCCAAATCAGTTTTGTTTGTTTGACATAAGAGTTTCTCATGTAAATCAGGCTGGCCTCAAACTCATGGTGATCCCCCTGTTTCAGTCCCTTGAGTGCTGGGATTATTTATGTGCATCACCATGTCTGGCTTTCATCTTTTTAAAAAATTTCTGTTGTATTGGAGATTGAACTCAGGGCTTTTGTAGTGAACTATATCCCCACTCCCTTTTGGGGAGAGGTTCTTGTTAAGTTGCCCAGGCTGGGATCAAACTTGTGATCCTTCTGCTTTAGCCTTGCAGAGAACTGGGATTACAGGTGTGGGCCATCACACCTTGCTTGGTTTGGCACCTCTTTGTCTCTGTGGATACTTTTGAAGTCTGCTTCTTTCTCTTCTCTTTCTTGTAGGTGGGTAAAATGCAAACAGATTCTAGGAATACATAGTGGAGTAGCTCTTCTTACACAAGAGCATACACTTTGAAATCAGACAGCTGGAGACAAAT